TTAAGAGTCTAGCTGTGTACAATGTACTGAGATATTGCTCTATATTCGTTGTGGAGACGAAACTGGATGGCAACTTGATGTCATCCCTAGCGGTATTGGCGTTCTACGTGTATGCTGTATACCTATCCTTGGCTCTGACATTTGCCATTCCAAAACATTTCGGGAAATTTCAAGAACTAATTGGGGCATACATATCGGATTATGGTGCCTCTCCATATCTGATGACAATAAAGCATAAAGTACGCACATTTGTTATAGTTTGCAAGCTGTTGTATGTGAGTTTCATGGTCAGTACAACGATTGGCCTGAGCAATGTGTTTCCAACACTGGAGCGTCATCTGACTCCATTTAACGGCTATCAAGGGGCAGCGAAAATAGGCTTGCTGGTATTATATGTATGTATGCTTACTGTTGTGACCTCACAGGTGGTTTCGGCTCTCGTTTTGTTCAACACTACCACGATATGTCTGATCAAGGAATTCCGGACACTGTCCAAGAAACTTGAAGAGGATATGGACAAATTTGAAAGCATCTTTGGTCAGTTTTGTCAGAGGCACAAACGTCTGTCATTGATATCGGACGAAGGGAACGCTATAAACAGCCACTTTGCATTTGCTACATATGTTTTCGGGATACCAATCATATGTTTTCTTTTCTTTGGACTTATCCGAGGATCGCTGCCATATGATGAACTGTTGTTTTGTTCTGGGAACCTCCTCAGCATCACAGCTCTGATGATACTGGTGACTGTCCTAGGGTTTGTTCTCAACGATTCGGTAAGACGATTAACATGTTTTAATGTAGATATGATGGTTAGCTTAGTACGATCATCACTTCTTAATGAACCTCTTGGATCTATTCAATTACATAAGTTGTTAATTACATCGACAAGCTGAGCTTGAAGTTCTCTCTTTAAATTTGTAATGTTAAAATTATCGACTGATAATTGATTTAATCCCTAATGTTTGAAAAAAATACCGATTTGCAACAATTTAGGATTTGCTTCAACGGTTGTACGTAAACTAATGTGTTGCATTAGTGGCAGTGGCATAATCGAGCCTACAGCCTTACATTGGGCAGAACCCTTTGACAGTAGATTAAAGGGAAGATATTTTTATGACTGACAGCTTCTTGTTGATGCGACGTAGCGGTAAATAACGTGCGACGTGAAGGTACACAACCTTCTACTGCTGTCAAAGAGGGCTGTTGCCATGTTATCCTGATAAGCTGTCATCTCTTGAACATAGCTTGCCCTAACTGCCACTCACTGACTTTTGAAAATGACAATCAAACATTGCAAATATTTGTAAACATATGTAATTATTACATGGTGAAAATGTAACCCATAGCAAATTACTGTCGACAATGAGATACAGCGGTTCTTTCGCTGTTGCTATGTTTACTGTCGACATCGAAATAATAGGAACTGTCAGTTTTGATAGAATATCCTCATTGTGTGACAGGTTCCTTCTATTACAAATCCGTTGCCCCCTAACAAAATATGGATTGAAAAAGAAATAATTAGATAATGCTTTTTCTTTATTCTCGAATCTGATAAATGTATAATTCTCGAAGAACAATTGTAGTGTTGCGAATATTAATCTGCTAGCTCTCATGGTTAAATCTGGCCGTCTCACCTGCTCCATATGTAGAGAAATTACTTTCTAGAAACTTGTGAGCGGCTCTCCAGCCGTGCTCATATATCAGCAAATTGGGCAAATAACAATTGTTTACGCAACTGTTAACGTTGGTTGTGATTCTTGTTCTTTTTTAATGTTTTGCTATATAAAAATGTCATAATATCTTAGCCCCGTGAAGATTTGGGTTAGAATTGGTCTTGAGTAACCCATGCTTGTCGTAAGAGGCGACTAATGGGTCAGATTCGCTGTCTTGGTTTACACACGTCATCGTATCCTAATTGTGTAGGTCGATTCTTATGCTGGGTAACCCGTTACCTTTTTTTGTCGGTTACCAGTGAATGCATATCCAATCCTGGCTTCCATTTGTCCGCTGCTAATACCAGTCAGCATCAATTAACCCTCCTCCCTATAAATAACCCACCTTTGCTATCTTTTTACTTTTGTTGTTCTCACATGACGATCGACGCTCATGCTGTTGTCCGTGAATTGTCTCGTCCAGACTCGATTATTTACAGATCGCCACCGTATAGCTGGAATATTGCTGAGTGCGGCGTTAAACAATAAACAATCAAGTTGTCCTCATGGCCAACAAAACCCGATTTCTTTATCTGACTATTCTGTCAACATAATTACTGCAGCCGTATGAGAAAGACTGATTATTCGATAATTTTTGGGAGCATTATCTAATGCCAAGGTTACACTTTCAGACGCTCCAACACAGTTGGCAACTATCAAAGTTAGTGAGTGTGACTTACCTTTACGCACCAGTTAGAGTCACATCCTTTTGCTATTCGTCATGATAATTAATTGCAAATATGAGCAAAGTAAGAGTATATGGTTCACGCAGTTGAATGAGTGATAGTGATCAAAGAAGCACCTGCAAAGGTGATTTTTAGTTGGACCAAAGTGAAACGAAATAGTGCCTATGACATAAACACCACTGAGAAAAATGTTAAGATGAGATTGTGTCAGCTACCCATCGACTATCCCCATGTCCTGTTTTGATCCCATGAATAAATGACATCAACAATCACAGTCTGCACCTGCTATCATCGATTAGCACATGAAGTCTCTTGCATCTGACTGTATTCTCACAGGACTGCCAGTTCCTAGCAGTGTCTTCGCCTTTGATGTCTGCATTTAACTTTTTCTGTACAGTTTAGCGTGTTCTGTCAACCACGATTTCAAATAGTCATGTGACTCTCACAACTTGTTTAATCACAGTTACAAAGTTCAAAGCCTCAGTAAGGAAGGCATCTCTTCAAATTTGACGTACTGAGACAAAAATGGTGCCCGATGCGATTTTCAGTTTTATACCATTTGTTTGAGTGTTTCTGAGGTGAATAAATGACCTGCACCTGCATGTGTTTGTGACGGATGTTGGGGAAGAACACGACCATCTTTTCACTAACACCAAATATCATGATTTTTTGTGATTCTAAACACAGGAAGTGTCTGTTTGTACCTTAGATTTCTGGTGAACATGAATCTTGCCTTAATAGACGCAGAACGTGTCATATATTTTGTTTGCTTCACCTGCCCACTATAGTATTCAGGGACCACTTGAATACAGCAACAATGGTTTGCAATGTCTAGTTTCATTTCAATCACCAACTCAATATTTGGGAAAAAGAAGCCCAAACATTCGAGAATAATGGTATTTATACACGAATTCGATGCATAGTTTCATGTCCCCATACGATAAACAATAAGTTCACTAGCCTGATCTTGCTTGTGGGAGGTAACGGGACTGCACATTCCTGATATTTCAGGGTAGCAAGAAACGTACGTTTCAATATCCGTATAGAAACGTATCCGTGACAGAGAACTCCTCAGCAGTGGATGTATACATACACATATATAAAAGATACAAAAAATGCAAGAAGAAAACAATAACAAGTATGATGGCACTTGTTGTTACTCTGCCTAGCGGAGTTTAACTTTACTCACTAGACGAGCATTGTTAACAGGGGCATAGTCCGAGCTAGTATGATCAGCCACACACTCATGCATTCTGGCGTCCGTTGTACAAAGCGTTCTTATCGCTAAGGTGACCGTAACTCCCATACCTTAACATAGACTTAAGGTAGTCTTAGCGCTAAGGTTGTTTTGAACAACGGCACCCTGGTCATTAACGAAGTGCAATAATCTTGGACCCTATTTCACCTCACCACTTTACCTGCTCTCGGTCGCTAGATGACATATACACCACAACTCTGACTTTCATCAAAAACAGACATATACACCATAACTGTGACTTTCATCAAAACAGCAATCACCTATCACTGAGTACCATAAACATGAATAAACGGAATAAACAAGATTACCTTCACGAAGTCTTCACAAGTGTCCAAACGTTGGTACATTGACTTGTCAAGAAACATCTATTTGTGATAAAATGTTCAAAGAAACTCAACAATTTTATGTGCAAACAAAATTTCGTTTTTTCCTAATGAAAGTAAACTCCTGGGGGCATGTTGAACCCACACTCACCTCTGCGTACGGGTTACTTCTTCTAAGAAATTCAATTGTTAAATGGCGTCATCGAAGGGTAACAAAAGGACTGCAATTCTTTTTCTACACAAAAACGTACTTGTACAGAAAGGGAGCTAAAGCAAAAACGTATGGGGTGACGCGGGGACTACAGATGTCTACCTATAGTTCCATGCCATACGTACACATACAAATCGTGTTCATGCAATGAAAGGCACGTGCAAACTGTGAATCACGACATTTGAGTCGAGGAGATGACTTCACGAATATGTCTTGTGCGATGCTGTATTTCATTTTCTGCCGTTTCTGTGTGTGAATCTTTTCAAGGTACGAGGATATTGAAAGACTACATGTATTTTCTACTTTGCCTGGAGGATGCCGGTAGTGACACGTTGTACCTGATTAATCTCGGTAACCACTCCTTTCCACTGACCTGGGGTTGATGAACAGCCAGATGTGATTTGATTGATCCTGTATTTCCTAACGATGAATAGCACCTCACCCCATATTTACATTGCACTTCAAGCTCCCGAATGTCATATATCTTCTCTCTGAATGTTCGTATTGTGCTATGTAATGCCGTCAGTTCATCCAATGTAACGCTGATGGAAATGAACATTACATCCCATCCACAACACGGAGGTTTCATGTCAGGTCACTGTGTCAATAACTGCAACGATGGAATAGTGTGTTTACAAATCACAGATGCATTATTGGGCTTTCGGGATTGCGACAGATCGATTATGGCGGCGATATTTCCCTTACTAATGCATAGCATACATGGACATGTAATGCATTATAGATACGTGTCGATTGGACAAAATGGATATGAAACCGGTGTTATAACTGCAAGTACTTAGTGACAACACCTCTATGGTCTAGGAACCAGGCGTGTACGCTCCCTGCAGCTGCATGAGCTACAGTGGATCTGTGAACGAATCATTATGAAACTTACAAAGGTGGAAGACATTGAACAGTTTGACATGGAATATGTCTTCCGACCTGTCAATCAAGTTTTACACTTAAACGGATTTTACCTTGGAGTGGAGAACAGTATATCATCCAAATGTGCATTTATATTTCTCGCACTTATCTGTAAGGGTCTTGTCGTGTTCAATGTTATCAGATATTGCTCTATATTCGTTGTGGAGACGAAACTGGATGGTAACTTGATGTCATCCCTGGCGGTATTAGCGTTCTACGTGTATGCTGTATACCTATCCTTGGCTCTGACATTTGCCATTCCAAAACATTTCGGAAGATTTCAAGAACTAATTCGGGAATATGTATCGGAGTATGGTGCCTCTCCATATTTGATGACACTAAAACGTAGAGTATGTACATTTGCTATAGTTTGCAAGCTGTTGTATCTGAGTTTCATGGTCAGTACAACGATTGGCCTAAGCAATGTGTTTCCAACACTGGAACGTCATCTGACTCCATTTAACGGCTATCAAGGGGCAACTAAAATCGTCTTGCTGGTATTATACGTAATTATACTTATTGTTGTGAGCTCACAGATGGTTTCGGCTCTCGTTTTGTTCAACACAACCACGATGTGTCTGATCAAGGAATTCCGGACACTGTCCAAGAAACTTGAAGAGGATATGGACAAATTTGAAAGCATCTTTGGTCAGTTTTGTCAGAGGCACAAACGTCTGTCCTTGATATCGGATGAAGGGAACGCTATAAACAGCCATTTTGCATTTGCTACATATATGTTTGGAATACCAATCATATGTTTTCTTCTCTTTGGACTTATCCGAGGATCGTTGCCATACGATGAGTTGTTGTTTTGTTCTGGGAACCTCCTCAGCATCACAGCTCTGATGATCCTGGTGACTGTCCTAGGGTTTGTTCTCAACGATTCGGTAAGACGATTAATATGTTTTTAATGTAGGTAATATCATGCTTAACTTAGTACGATCACCACTTGTTAGTGAACCTCTTTGATCTGTTTGGGGCGGTGGGGGTAGCCTGATGGTCACGCTGTAGACCCGGGTTCGATTCCCCACATGGGGTACAATGTGTGAAGCCCATTTCTGGTGTCCCCCGCCGTGATATTTCTGGAATATTTCTAAAAGGCGGCGTAAAACCAAAGTCAGTCACTCACTCACTCACTCACATTGAGCTGTTCAATTTCATAAGTTATTAATTACGTCGACAAAGCTGATATTTGAGTTCTCTCTCTAAATACATATATGTTATCACGCGAGTGTGTTTTGGGATGATTAATATCCTGCATTAGGAATAACCAAGGCCAAGGCTCGCTAAATAAAACGTCATTCCTATTTTGTTATTTTAAAAAAAATGCAATTTCAGTGGCCACAAATCATGAAACTAAACTTCGTGGAATGTGTACAGATATCTATGACGTCACATATATTCACGTAGTAAAACGTTACATCACCAGCTCGGTGACACAAATTTCTTCTGATCACTCAATTGACTGCGTTAGGTCATCTAGTTCCCAGTAAGTTTTTATGTTAAAGCAGGTATTGTTGTCAACAAATCTTAGCTTACGTTTGAAATATAACAACAAACTTAACTAGAACTTCAGGAACCCTCAATTAACCTTTTGAACAACAATTACACTTTAATGTTCGCGTGACATTACGCACCTGGATTCCTGTGCCGTCTGCTCGCTAACACTGACAGTCGGTCGGGGAATCGGGTCACGATCGCCGATACACTGTGAAAGAAGTCCCTAAAATTTGCATATGACCTCTCTAATTTGCATCGATATATGTATATGACCTCGACGGATACCGAAAATATACGTTGGCTTGATCCTGTCGATCCATTGTATGATAAATTGTTATATTGAAATTGGCGACTGATAATTGATTTAATTCCCAATGTTTGCACTCCCCCCCCCCACCCCCACTCCAAAAAAACAAAACAAAAACTAAACAAAAAACCAAACAAAAAAAACAAAACAAAAACAAACAAAACAAAAACAACAAAACAAAACAAACAAATAAACAAAAATGACTTGAACAAAAACAACAAAATAAACTAATGTGTTACATACGTGGCAGGGAAAGCGAACTTACAACTTTACATTGGGCAGATCTCTTTAACAGCAGATTAAAGGGAAAATACTATTATGGGTGACAGCTTCTTGTGATGCATAGAGGTACACAACCTTACACTGCTGTCAATAATATGTGTTGCCATGTCAGACCTGATAAGGTGTCATCTCTTAAACAAAGCTTCCCTTTACTGTCACTCACTGACAATCAAACATTGCAAATAATCATAAGCTATTCTTACATGGTGAAAATGTAACCAATAGTAAATTAAAGAGGATAAGTCCTTCTTTTGTGGTTGCTATGTTTACTGTTGACATCGAAATGATCAGATAGGCCAACATAATTAAAATAACCCCATTATGTGGCAGGTTTTTGTTCTCTCGTTTACAGATCCGTCACACCCTAACACCTAAGAAAATATGGATTGAAAATGAAATGTATTAGATTCTTATTCCCGAATCTGCTAAATGTATAACGCATGAAAAACAATGGTAGTGTTGCGAATATTAGTCTGCTAGGTCTTATGATTAAAGCTGGCAGTCTCACCTGCTCCATATGTTGAGAAATTACTCTCTCGAAACGTGTGAGCGGCTCTCCAGGCGTGAACATATATCAGCGAATTTGACAAATAACACTTGTTTATGTAACAGGTACCGTCGGATGTGATTGGTATTCTTGCTAATGTTTATGCTGTATAAAAAACATAATATTTTAGACCCGTGAAGATCCGGGTTAGAATTGGTCATGAGCAACACATGTTTGTCGTAAGAGGGTGGTTAGAATCGCTGACCTGGTTCACACATGTCATCGTATCAAAGTTGCGTGGTCCAGACTCGAATATTTCCAGGCCGCCGCCATAGCTGGAATATTGCCGAGTGGGGCGTTAAATTCAATCTCAAACGCTTTTATTCTCAAAGAAAACCGCTCTTGGTGGTACAAGAGACACATTATTAAACATTTACAATACATAAAGGCAAGATGGCAGAAAGTACAATTGTAGATATATACAATACAAATACAACATAGTTAGTGTTTACAATATAATAATTTTCTGGGGCAGTGTGGTAGCATAGTGGTTAAAGCGTTCGTTCGTCACGCCAAAGACCCGGGTTCGATTCCCCACATGGGCACAATGTGTGAAGCCCATTTGTGGTGTCCCCCGCCGTGATATTGCTGCAATATTGCTAAAAACGGCGTAAAAACCATACTCACTCACTATAATCATTTTGTCTTTTTCACACCTTTATCAACTATGTTTAAATATTTTGCTAAATTTTGTGAGTGTACAATACTTTGCCTCAAAAATATGTTTTTATAAGTCATTACATTTGATAAAGATAAGTATTTAATGGGAATGTATTTCTTTCTTTGTTTTATAAAATCTTGGCATTTAAAAAGATAAAGAAATTCATCTGCTACAGCAGGTGATTTACAGAGATTGCAGCTTCCTTTTTTCACGATCAATGCCATGCCAACGACTATCTTCAACACGTTTGGTTACAGGTTCTGTATTTAAAATTGGTAAATGTACATAAGCGGGCAGGAGGAGATACATTTCTAAAATCGGAAGATTTTTAATGCAGTTGTAATAGAAACCTTTAGGGCTATTTTCTATCGCAGCTCTCCAGCTTTAGTAACATTGATCTTCCCGAATTGATATTACCTGAGAAGTTACACATTGCTTGGAGTGTTTTGCTAGCCGCCCCTTAATATAAATACCTTTGTTTTATCTGGGTTTTATCTACGTCTAGATGCCACATATTACAATATGTATGGAATGAGTTAAGCTGAATCAGCAAAAAGGTCTGTATCATCTGCATGAAGTAGTATCATAAAAGAAAGACATAAGTTCATATCAATATCCGGGAAGTTACCAAGACGCTCAGATGTACAGCCATCATTAGTAAGGAATTAGTCCAGGTCATTTATGAATAGACAGAACAAAAGAGGGGAAAGGTTTTCACCTTGACGCACGCCACAGTAACATGGGAATCCCACATATTATTTGATATTAGCATACATATTTTAATAAGTGTTAAACATCTACTTTTAATTCCATTGTTGAGTAGCTTATGCCATAGCCCAACCCTCCATACATTATCAAACGCTTCCGCATTATCAATAAAAAGCACAGAACAGTTTTCTTTTGCTAGTGTTTAATAATTGGTTGAGCATATTCATTACGAAGATGTTATCATTTGGTGAGTGATCATTCCTAAAACCCGCCTGGGCAGGGGTTAATATATCATTTGTTTCAAGAAAAGTGTTAAGTCTGTTATTCGGTATACTTGTGAACAGTTTACCAAAACAGATGAGTATCGTAATTGGTCGATATGCGTTTGGGTTTGAATATATCTCCCTCTCCTTTGTAGATGGGTTTGACAGGAGCCCGTCAATCATGTTTCCGTTAATATTCCCGTTGATAAACTCAAATTAAAATATTCAACATTTTCAATTTGATCAGTTCCAGAGGCTTTATTGTGTTGAAGACTTTTAATTGCAAAGGTTATATCTTCAAATGATGTATCTTTGTTGAGCACATTGAAATCGTAGATTTCCTCGTTGATTTCGCGGTCTGTTTCGGGATTATCTAAACTGTTTCCCATTTATATCTTTAAAATATACCAATATCAGGTGCATCAGAGATATTTCTTTTACTCTTTGTGAGGATTTTCCAAAATTCTTTAGGCTTTTACTTTGGGTTTCTCTAATCAATGTACACATTTCCTTTATATGCTTGATGTGCTTGTTCACACACTGCGATACTCTTTAGAGCATCGGCGGAACGCAGGTTTATTACGAGATGTTTTGCAATTAAAATATTTGCGTTTGGATTTATGAATGTTATTACGTTCAACTCTGCATTTTTGCCAAACCAAGGTGTGTGTGCGTTTGGTTCATTTTTAAACGGTGGATCTTTTGGTGGAACGTGCAGCATCAGCAAATATATTATCTACTCCAGATGCAAATTCATTGAATGCACGTGCGGTTTCACCGTGACCTGTTGTTGATTGCAACATGTTTGTCTATCTGGAAACATTATTGATGTTGATATTATCTGCAAATAATTTAGATGAATTTATGCCATAACGCATAGGTTTCTGGGTATTCCCATCTGGGGCTACGTTTGTATTAATATTTTGAAATTCCAAGGCTTGTCCTACTATCAGATAATTGAAACCTAAGTTGAGTGAGAACATAGTTGGAGAGTGGATATCTGAATAAAGGGCTGAAAATTTAAAAATCTCTAAATCTCTAAAAAGTTAAAGGCATAATGATGAAGGTAGGACATAGTCAACGAAACTTGAATCCTTACAAGTTACTTTGCCAATATCCTTATCTTTATCTAATCTGCCATTACAAATAAACATATTGGTGTTTTTACATAGTTGTATCAATTTGAGACCTGGTGCATTTGTTTTACCCATAGCCTGATTTGGCTTTAATACAGAAAGAGAGGTTGTGAAAGGATATTCTCAGTTTCATAAATATCATTCATTGTATCAATATCAACAGAGTTCTTCAATGATATGATTGTCAACAGTACAAGTTCTTCAATTACAATAAACAATAAACAAACAAACCCATATTCTGCCATGGCCATAAATACGTTATTTCTTTATGTGACCATTATGCCATGTCATATTCACTGCAGTTGTATAAAATCGTTTGAGTGTTCCTAAATTCTTTTGAATTGATTATTATTACCAGTCTATAAAGTTAGACTTCTTTGAGTGGCATTTTAGAAGTTGGAAGTCAGATAGAACAAGTATATATGGATGACAACTTCTATAATTCTATAGCACGACGTTTCGATACAGGTTCTTGTATCTTTT